TTCACTCCCAAACGCCTGCAACATCCGGAGCTTGTCCCCATCAAAACCAGAAGCCTAGAACTCCATCCCACTCTCCCAAATGGGTGGTAGGGACCCGAGTACAGCCACATTAGCAGGAAGCTGGTTTGGAAGTGAGGAAGTCAGGCATTCAATCAGTGCTTTAACCCACTACACCACAACAGACTCTGGCTTGAAATCTTAAGATTGCTCTGACTTGCTCTGTGATTTGTAGTAGTCTGGTTCCTCCTGCTTGAGCTTTCAGGTTCTTACTCTTGAAGCCAGCAGTGGTGGAACTATCATCATGGCTTCCTAGTGATAAAGGGGAAAATAGACAGTTCAGCCACAGCATACCTCCCCTGAGTAATGCAAGGGCAGAAAGAGAATCAGAAGGCCCTCGAGCTCAAAGTCTGTCTGAAACTGCCTAGCTTAAATTTTATTCAGTTTGACTATATTCATGCCAGGCAGGAAAGATGGCCTATTAATTTCTAGATCTGCAAAAAATACATTTTAGGAATACGAAAGAACAAAGGAAGTTATATTCAGTCTTGTGAGGAACGACAGAAGTTTAACATTTCTCCTTCAATTTTAAATAACCATGTGCAAGACCGAGTTCTCTGTAATGAGATTAGTTAGGGAAATTGTTAAATGTTCTCATTTCCTTGCCAAAGAGCCCTTAGAAATTCACAGCTCATTAGAACCTTCAGAGTAGTTAATAAACAAAGCTTTGTATTATTACCTAATTAAAATATATCTCATTTCAACATTTTATTACCCACCATTAAGATTCTTCTACTACAGAGGTTACATAAAAATTATTATTCTGCTTTCTTTTAATTGCAAGTTTCACAGGGTAGTTCTTTCATATCAAAACATAAGGAAATTGCAAACAGAAAGTCATGTCACCCAGTCTAGTTCATTTAAATAAGCTCTGAAACAATATTCTGAATGTAAGATCTTTTATTTGGCATATCTTCTTTAATAATTTCTTCTATCATATGCAACTAAATCATGCACATAAATGCTTAAATTTAAACTCCATCTATGTATTCTCTATATACTTATCTTTTTATTAATGCATTTTGGCACAGTTAAATGGCATATAAAGACTACTCTACTTTATAATTGTGACTGTATTTACTTTCTTTGTGTTCCAATTTCTGTCTTTGAAATGTAGTCATAGGGTACGTGTTTACGTGTTTACCTTAACAATTAAGAAGCCTGTATGCCTTATTGAAGTGCCAAGGATTAATTCCAGGCTCTGGTTGAACTTTCCAATTCCACCTTCGTGCTAATACAGATCCTGGCAGACAGCAGTGATAGCTCAAGGAATTGGGTTCTTGCCATCAATGTAGGAGACCTAGATTGGGTCCCCAGCTTCCAGTTTTGGCCTGGCCTAGGTCCTGCCATTGCTGTATTTGAGAAGTGAGCCCGCAGATGGGAGAACTCTAACTCTGTCTCTTTCTCTTCATCTTTCTGCTTTTCAGAAATAAGTATTTAAAATGAATCTATAAAATAAAATAAAGTACACAGTAATACGTGCTCTACATACATCACATGACACTTGCAAGAGTTAAATTAGACCCACAAAATTTACTAAATATTTGCTTTACAGACATTTTCTCTTATGGCTGAGAGATGGCATGACGGGCCCTATTAAAATTGATCAATACGGCCAGCACTGCGGCTCAGTAGGCTAATCCTCAGCCTTGCAGCGCTGGCACACTGGGTTCTAGTCCCAGTCGGGGCACCAGATTCTGTCCCGGTTGCCCCTCTTCCAGGCCAGCTCTCTGCTGTGGCCAGGGAGTGCAGTGGAGGATGGCCCAAGTACTTGGGCCCTGCACCCCATGGGAGACCAGGAGAAGCACCTGGCTCCTGCCATCGGATCAGCGCGGTGCGCCGGCCGCAGCGTGCCGGCAGTGGCAGCCACTGGAGGGTGAACCAACAGCAAAAGGAAGACCTTTCTCTCTGTCTCTCTCACTGTCCACTCTGCCTGTCAAAAAAATTGATCAATACCCCATCTCACAAATCAGGGGAGACCTACAGGAGAGGTGGTCCTCATCCTTCAGTAAGGGTAGATGCTTCAATGTGGTCAAATAGCTGAAAATCCAAAAACACTCATTGGATTTGGGATGGCTTGACCTTCATAAAAGAAGTTCAATAGCAAGAATTGGTGTAGAAAAGAGTCTATGAGCTGTGTGCCAACAATTACTGTCAATATGTGAGCGTGTCCAAAGTAAGCAAGCTGAGGTATAAGATGGATGCTCTGATAGCACGAATGTCAAAATGGAAGGAAACAGTGAATTGGAGAAAGAAAAAAACTAGCCTGCATTTTGAGTAGATAATTAACATTGGGATGATATGTCACCCAGTTTTTAAAGCTGAAGTGCTGGCTTCAAAGCTCTATCTGAAGCCGTGGAAGTTGTCAGAGGCTCAATGTCATGAGGAGCCAGCTTCCCTAGAGTGGGTTCATCATGGTCCACACAGGCTGAGGTCCCATGTATTATGGGGTTGGGTGGCATCAGCATAGTGGTATGAATCTCGACTCATAGTTGTAAATGTTAGTCAAAATTTATAGTAGGTCCCCTGAGAAACTCCACCCAAGAGATGGTAAATGTAAGATCAAGTGTTCTGAAGACTGACATAATGTAGAAGTAACAAAAGCACCCAAGTGTCTTCTGAGTGGATTAATTGCAACCTAGACCTAAGGAAATTTTTGCTTAGAAGAGAATGGTAACCTGAAAAGTAACAGGTGAATTATTTTTAAATATTAATATTTAGTGATAATTTAGAGATTTTTCTAACTTTAAAACTCTAACAGTACTCACATAAATGATAGACACAATAAAATAAAAATATAAAATTATATACTTCCTAGACTAATCTTACTATTTTCATGAGTTAAAATTCATTTGTAAACCAATTTTTTTTCAAGTTCATAGTAATATAATATTTGTCTGGAGCAATGTTCTCAATATTGGGTGGAGAATTCATATAGAAATTTCTTAGGAAACTTTAAAGATATGGTTTTTCACACCTTAGAGGTATATCGAATTTTTGTGTGGCTGAGAAAGACTCTACTGATGGGGAGCCTTGGATAAGCAGGGCATTGAAATTTATTTTGAAGAAATTCTCTAGGTGACACCAATAACTTTCATTCCCACCCTATCTCCTAAAAATGGCTAGCCCAAAGGACAAAATCCCAAAAGCAGATTTCTGTCATTGTAAGGGAAACCTGTAGCCAATACAAGTGAGCAGAGCACTATGACTGAAGTAACAATTATCCAGGTAGTTCACAGTGCTTGTTTCATAATCTACTATGTATTGGTCCAGGTAACTGTTGGTTCTACTTCTTCATGGAAACCTTTCCTGAACATAACAAATGAAGTTCTTAATCTGTCTACCTAATATATATTTTCTCTTTGTAACATTTGTTTTCATGGTAATAATATATTTTGAAGATTTATTTTATTTATTTGAAAGGCAGAGTTACAGAGAGGCAGAGGCAGGGAGAGAGAGAGAGACAGAGACAGAGACAGAAAGGGTTCTTCCATCCTCTTGTTCACTCCCCAATTGGCCACAACAGCCGGAGCTGTCTGGGTCCGAAGCCAGGAGCCAGGAGCTTCTTCTGGGTCTCCCACATGAGTACAGGGACCCAAGGACTTGGCAACCTTCTATGGTTTCCCAGGCCATAGCAGAGAGCTAGATCCGAAGTAGAGCAGCCAGGACTCAAACTTGTGCCCATATGAGATGCTGGCACTGCATGCTTTACCTGCTATGCCACAGTGCCAGCCTCAGTACTAATATGCTAGTATCATGTATTTTAATTGTGTGTCTCTCCCGTTGTCCAAAAAGTTATATAACAGCAAGCATTTGTCACACCTTGCTTCTTTCTGCATTCTTTTTTTTTAGGATTTATTTATTTGTTTGAAAGACAGAATTACAGAGAGACAGAGGCAGAGACAGAGGGAGAGATCTTCCATCTGCTGGTTCACTCCCAAATTGGCCACAATGGTCGGAGCTGAGCTGATCCGAAGCCAGGAGCCAAGAGCTTCTTCGATGTCTCCCAAGCGGGTGCAGGGACCCAAGGACATGGGACATCTTATACTGCTTTCCCAGGTCATGGTAGAGAGCTGGATCAAAAATGGAGCATCCAGGACTAGAACCAGCACCCATATGGGATCCCAGCACTGCAGGCGGCAGCTTTACCCACTTTGCCACAGCATGGGTCCCTTTCCTGCATTCTGAGTGTTATGCCTGGGGTTCTGAATAAATACAGCACTCACTTCTGAAGCTCATTAGCATCCTAAGTTATCAAAATCAACTCAGAAAACCCAGGACACACAGGGGCACCTCAAAAGGTTCATGAAAAGCTACAATTAAAAGATGACTTTGGGCTCAGTGTTGTGGCAAAGCAAGTAAAGGTGCCACCTGTGACACTGTTATCCCAGATGGGCACCAGTTTGTGTCCTGACTATTCCACTTCCAATCCAGTTCCCTGTTAATGGTCTGGGAAAAGCAGAAGAATGATGGCACAAATTTTTGGGCCCCTTCCTACCACATGGGAAAACTAGATGAAATTTCCGTCTTCTGGCCTTAGCCTGGCCCAGCGCAAGCTATTACATCCATCTGGGGAGTGAACCAGCAGATAGAAGATCTCTCTCTCTCTCTCTCTCTCTCTCTCTCTCTATATATATATATATATATCTCCCTATAACTATGATTTGCAAAATAAGTAAATAAATCTTTTTATTTTACTTTATTTTTTAAACATTTGGGGGAGGTTAAGGTAAATTTTTATAGATCAAATCATTTTAAATTGTTTTAAGTAAACTCCAAAGACTAGCAACAACATTAGTGTTAGCATCCATTAAACAAAAGCTTTATTAACACAAGCACAAACTACAAAGCAGTGAGGAATCCATGTCATAACACACAGGTGGCAGTGCAGCATCCGGGTCCAAAAGGATGCTTGAAGATGGCAACCCATCAGATTTCCAGGGAGCAGAAGCCATATTCACAGGCAAAGGCAGGCGCAGCTGTAAAAGCTTCTCAGGTTTTCTCTCCTTATTGAGGGTTATGAGACGTACTCCATTCAAGGGGAGTCGTGTTAGCTGGTGCTCTTCAGGCAGGTCAAAGCATTCACGATCTAGATGATTAAAAAGAAAGCATTTTTCTATTTCTGGATAGGTGTCATCTGAGGCAGGAACAGAGTTTTTTGCTTTGGGCCATGTTCTGCTGCTTTCCCAGACACATTAGCACGGAACTGGATTCAAAGTGGAGTGGCTGGGGTTGAAACCTGCATCAGTATGGGAGGCCAGTGTCCCATGTAATGGCTTCACCCACTTCACAATGGTGACAGGCAGAGTGGACAGTGAGAGAGAGAGACAGAGAGAAAGCTCTTCCTTTTTGCCATTGGTTCACCTTCCAATGGCCGCCGTGGCCAGAGCGCTGCGGCCTGTGCACCGCGCCTATCCGAAGGCAGGAGCCAGGTGCTTCTCCTGGTCTCCCATGGGGTGCAGGGCCCAAGTACTTGGGCCATCGTCCACTGCACTCCCTGGCCACAGCAGAGAGCTGGCCTGGAAGAGCGGCAACCGGGACAGAATCCGGTGCCCCGACCGGGACTAGAACCCAGTGTGCCAGCGCCGCAAGGCGGAGGATTAGCCTACTGAGCCACGGCGCCGGCCTCCATAAATCTTTTTTAAAATATATAAATTTATGGTGCGAAGTAGGGATTTCATTTTATTCTTCTATGTATGTAAGTCCAGTTTTTCCAGCACCATGTATTGAAATGAATATCCTTTATCCAATGTATATTCTGGGCAACTTTATCAAAAATAAGTTAGCTGTGTATCTGTGGGCTAATGTCTGTGTTCTCTATTCTTTCCATTTATGTTCCTGCCTTTATCCTGTTTAAATTATTATTACTGGTAATATGCTTTGAAATCAGTTATTGCGATGCGTCCAGCTTTATTTTCTTTCTAATTCTATAGAGAATGTCATTGGCATTTTGTTAGCAGTCACAGTGACTCTTTAGATTGGTTTCAGTAGTGCAGACTTTTTAAAGATACGAATTCTTCTAATCTATCCCTACCTTCTTACCAAATACAAAGAAACTCAGGATGGACCCAATACAAATGTAATACCTGACTGAACTTTATAGAAGAAAACCTGAGGAAAACACTTCAAGACATGGGAATACACAATGGTTTATTTCTTGAATAAAACCCTGAAAGCTGAGATAACAAAAGCAAAATCAATAGAGTGAGAAGATACCTGATAAAATGTGAGAAAATATTTGTAAGCTATTTAATTGACAAAGTATTAATACACGGAATATCTCAGGGACTCAAAAAACTCAACAAAAAACGGTTAACAAATATCTGAAAAAATAATCAATATCAACAGCCATCAGGGAAATGCAAATCAAAACCACAATGATTTTTTATTTCACCTGTTAACATGGCTATCATGAAAATGACAGAGAATAACAAACGTTAGTTAGGTTGTTGAAAGAAATTTTGTACATTGTCAGTGGGAAATTAATTATTAAAGCCATTTTGAAAAATAATATGGTATTTCTTAAAAATAAATAAAAAATAAAAGTAACATAGGACCAAGCAATTTCCATACTAGAGATATAAATAAAAAACATGAAATCAAATATATAGATAGATAGATAGATATACACACATATATGAAATCCTGCCATTTACAGTAAAAGGATGGAATGGGAAAACATTATAATGGGTGAATTATGTCACACAGAGAAAGACAAACATTCCATATTCTCTCTTGTATGTGGGAATTTTTTTTTTTTTTGACAGGCAGAGTTAGACAATAAGAGAGAGACAGACTGACAGAGAGAAAGGTCTTCATTCCACTGGTTCATCCCCCAAATGGCTGCCACAGCTGGCGCGCTGCGCCAATCCAAAGCCAGGAGCCAGGTGATTCCTCCTGGTCCCCCATGCGGGTGCAGGGCCTAAGCATTTGGGCGATCATCCATTGCCCTCTGGGGCCACAGCAGAGAGCTGGACTGGAAGAGGAGCAACTGGGACAGAATCTGGCACCCTGATCAGGACTAGAACCCAGAGTTCTGTGCCGCAGGCAGAGGATTAGCCTAGTGAGCCTTGGCGCCAGCCCTGTATGTGGGAATTCAAAATTAAAACTTCATTCTGAACACAAATTCTTGATTACAAGAGGCTGAGAGGGATGGAAGGGATACAAGAATTTTAACAAAAGCTGTAGGGGAAGTTGGATATGGTTCATTAGTTTTGATAAGTATATCACACAAATATGTGATGTTAGCAATAGGGGAAAACCGGGTATGGGGTTAATGGAAACTCTTTTTACTAGTTCAGTTTTTGTTTTGTAAATTTAAAACTATTGTGAAACAAAAATTTAAAATATTAAAAATATCAGTTTCTTTGGAAGAAATAGATTTTGAAACTCATGCAAATAAGGGATACTCACAAACTTCATAAAATCCTATGCATGAATTTCACGAATTTTGCAAAAAATGTAAGTAAACTTATCTTTTAAATTCCATTTACTATTATCTTTTGAAATATTCTCACATGGTCACTACTGTGATAAGCAATTTATGATTTTAGAATTGAAAATTCTTACTCTCACTACAACAAAACTAGGTGTATTTCTGAGATCCCAGCCAAAATAGTTAATGCACATTCCCAGTGAGGTGATGTAATTAAGTGCTGCACTATATAATACGCTACTTTCCAGGGAAGTAACTTCCATTTACTGGTCTAGGAATCCAACTGCCACTTTCATCATTGTGTTCCCAAAGTCCTATTCAATGAGTACACAAAGGAACTCTAAGAGAATAACTCATCCGTAAATTGGAAAATGTCTGAATATTGCCTTCTGAATACATCAGGCTTTATTTTTAATTTAATGTTATAGCAGCATAAATTACTTCATTAAAGTAGAAGGAACCTAAAATATTTCTTTTGTATGATTATTAAGAATAGCAACGAGCATCTTTCTAAAAAAATATTAAGAAGCCAAATTAGCTGCCTATAAAGCCCTACTTATAAGCTTTGGTCATTTACAGTTTTATGCTTTCAAATGTTTATACTGTTCTTTTGACTTTTTTTTTTGGCCTTAAGCCATTTTTTCAATTCGCTGATGATATGCTTTATTAAAAACTCAATAATTAAGTTTCAGCAGCAGAGGTTGTGAAACACTATATAACATGTATGGCAAGAACATAAAATTGCTTAAGTTCTTTTTAGATAATACTCCCATGGTAAAAAAAAAAAAGTCTCTATTATTGCAGGATTTAAAAGGTTTTCTTCTTTATATATATAATATATATATAATTTTAGACACGAAAATGTCTTTAAAACTAGGTTTATTTCAGAGATAAAGACTTTTATCTACTAAGAAATTCAGTCTCTAGCCCTTGTTTGTCTTTTCCAAATTAAGTATGACCTATGAGAATATTCTGATGGAAGAAAAGCAACATTGGACTATCTAAACAACTTTCATGCAAATATGAATTTAAAATCTCTTTCCAAACAAACTCAGTTAAGATTTTAATCATTTTTCTCTTCACTGCCACTGTCTTGCATAAGGTGACTATTGTTCCACACACAAAAAATTAATTAGAATCAGTTATTTGTTAGAAAGAATAGAAAGCGGGAGAATCTATGATGCTAAGAGGCTTATAGAATGAAATAAAATTATGGGAATGGCACATTAGATGGATTTGATATTTATTTGAGGACCTATTGGTAGGTGAGAGAAAACAGTCAAGCTTCTTTTCATGTCCTTGTGCATCTCACCCACTCACACCTTGGTTATCCATTGGTTTACTCATTTCCTCTGTCAGACATCTATTCAACAAACATGAAGTATCTACTATTTCCAATGTAGTTTAAGTACATTGAAGATAGATGATAGCACATGAACTTTGTTCTTGAAATAACGTTTAATTTAAAACAACTTATGGACAGCAAAGTGTTAATGAGATTACCACATAACCAGTGCTACTAAGATTCTGTATACAAAGACGTATAGTTCGGTAAGGTAGAGAGTGAGACCTTCGTAGTGAAACTCAGAAAACTGGAGAATTTCAGGAGTTCTGTGATACTTTTACTCCATTTTGAAGAAAGAGTAGAAATTAAACAGAGGAAAATGGCAAAAAGATGTCCTATCAGTAGGAATTAAAATACACAATTGAGAAACAAAAAGTACACTGATTTTCAACCTTGGAGTATCTGTTTATGAGAAAATCAGCAGAAGTTTAAGAAAGGCTAATGGGAGACTGGAAATATGGCAGCAGATTAGAATGTCTGTACTGCAGGCTAATGGGTCTCAATAATATAAACTGAAAATATCAGCTAAAGTTTCCAAACAGAGGAATGTCAAAATCACAGTTAACTTTTAGAAAAGCTACTCTAACAGCAAGGAGAATGGACTAGAAACACTTCAAATGAAAGTAAATGGGGCTGGTGCCGCGCCTCAATATGCTAATCCTCTGCCTGCAGCACCGGAACACCGGGTTCTAGTCCAGGTCGGGGCACCGGCTTCTGTCCCGGTTGCTCCTCTTCCGGGCCAGCTATCTGCTGTGGCCCAGGAGTGCAGTGGAGGATGACCCAAGTGCTTGGGCCCTGCACCCCATGGGAGACCAGGGGAAGCACCTGGCTCCTGCCTTCGGATCAGCGAGATGCGCCAGCCACAGCGTGCCAGCCACGGTGGCCATTGGAGGGTGAACCAATGGTAAAGGAAGACCTTTCTCTCTGTCTCTCTCTCTCTCACTGTCCACTCTTTCTGTCAATAAAAAAAAAAGGAAATGGGCCAGCACTGTGGTTTCAGGTGTTAAACTGCCATCTGCAGTGTAGGCATCCAATACAGGCACCAGTTAAAGTCCCAGCTGCACAGCTTTCAATCCAGCTCCCTGCTAAAGCACCTTGGAAAGCAGTGGAGAATGTCGCAAATCCTTGGGCCTCTGCACCAACATGAGAGACTCAAAATAAACTCTTGGCACTTGTCAAAGAAGGCTAATTGAGGAGACTTTGTATATACAATATTCACCAGATGTGCAATGACATTAATGGACAGCAATAGTAATACTTGTGATAATAGTGGTAGCAGCCAAGATAGCTCCAGTGTACTGGACACCAG